CCCATACAGACACCTACTACACGGTCTTCTTTGCACAAAGAATGTGCTTTAAAAAAGCAGCTGCCATTGATGATATTGCTTGTGAGGCACCATACTCCCCTAATCCAGGGGCTGTTTCCCTTGAATAAACGACATTTTAAAAAGAAAAGAGCGCCCACTGGCCTTAGAATCCCATCCAGATATGTGTCCTAGTTCAGCCACTGGCTGTTTATCCTTGTGCAAGTTTGCAGTTTTCTCTTTTGTACATTGGGTTCCTGCCCCAACCACTTTGCAGGATTCCTGTGAAGCTTAAATGGACCCCAAAATGCTTGGGATAGATTGTAAACTGAGCCCAGTAAAGGATGCTTTTATTCTTTTTTTTAAAGCTTGGCACCTAAGCTAACATCTGTTGCCAATCTTTTTTTTCCTTTCTCCCCAAAGACCCCAGTTCATAGTTATACATTCTAGTTGTGGGTCCTTCTAGTTGTGCTGAAGGATGCTTTTATGCGAGTCCACCTCCTTGATATGGGAAGCGGGGCACGCTCCAGCATTCTGAGACTGCTTGCCCGAGTCCCGTGTTTCAGCAACAGTTGAAGGTGGGATTTGAGGCAGAGAAAGTCCGGTGACAGCCCGAGTGGGAAAGCGCCTTGTCCCAAGGCAAAGGAGGCCAAGGGTCCTCTTCTTTCTCTCCTCTCTGTTTGCAGAGCCCTCGGTCTGCTCTCCCTCTGCTGCAAGCACGGAGCATGTGTCTTTGTAGCCCTCCTCCCTTAGCACCATGAGGACTCTTCTCCTGGATGAGGCTTTAAGACCACTGACAGTCCCGTTCAGCCCTGGCCCGTCCAGGACAGACAGGCCCCGCGGCTCCTCCCTCTGCTGTCTCCTTGGGCTCTTGGCAAGTGTCCTTCCCCCCTCATCCCCAGTCCTCTCAGTCAGAGAGGTTGAGTGGTTCAGGCCCTGAGCAGGCCATTTTAGGGGCACATCTTGGTCCCCATTCTTTAAAATGAGTTCTTCAAAGTCAAGTCTTTGCTGTTACTAAGAGAGCTGCCACTCATTTGCCACATCCCAGGCATTTAGCATACATTATCTGGGATCTCCACAATGACCCTCCAAGGCGGGTTTATTGTTCCCTTTCTACAGATGAGGAAACTGAGGCTCAAGGCAATTGTAACTTGGCCTGGTCAAATTGGCCAAGTGACAGGATTCAACCAAAACCTGACTCCCGAGGAAGTCCTCCTTCTGCCCTAGGATTCTGCCTCGCCACCAAAAATTTCCTCTGATCCTGTGCGGTTCATTTCTTCCCCTAAGTAGCTATTTTCCATGGCTAACACCCTTTCCACCAGGATCAGTTAGGAACAGTTATTGAGGCTGAATGTAATTAGCTATATAGTTATGTCATTTTGACCTGTTTGTGTTTAAGTCCCCTGAAATTACACTCAGTGGTTTGCAATCGCGGCCGCACATCAGCATTATCTGGGGAGCTTTAAAAAACTGCACACGCCCAGCCCTGCCTCCAGAGCGCCAGACTCAGTTGTTCTGGGGTGGGGCTCAGGCACCAGAAGTTTAGAAATCTTCCCAGGTCATTCTAATTACGTGCAGGGAGAGTTGAGAACCAGCGTTACATCAGGAGGCCGTGGCGTGAAGGAAGACTGATGAAAAGGGAAGGACAATCATAGGCTTCCCTGTGTACTTTGCACACATTTTTTTCTTTCCTAACAATATCTTTATCGGCTTTTTTGATGGTACATGATCATTGTCAAAAAAAGAGAGAGAATTAAGAAAAAACCCAGTCCTAGTCTTTCCTCCTCCTGTGTAGGGAAAAACCCAACGGTCCCTTCTCTTGTGTGTTTTTCCTTTACTTTACACAGCACACTTTCTGTACTTCTGGTCACCAAATGTGTGAGGGGTTTTCCCAACGACAAGCAATTCTCTCCGACGTTGGCTGGGTGTCCTATAATTTAGCTCAGTTCTGACGCTGTCTGCCTGGAGATAGCGTCAGATCCTGCAGGTTAAGGGCTCAGTCCCACAAGACGGCCCCCACTTCAGATGCCAGTCACAAGTAGTTGGTCCCCAGGCTCCCCACAACTTCTGCCCGACTTGGCTACAAATCAGAGGTTCAAACGACCCCCTCCTCAGGTTCAATTAATTTGCTAGAGCCGCTCACAGAACTCAAGGAAACACTTACTTATGTTTACCAGTTTGTTAAAGGGTATGATAAGGGATGCAGATGAACACCGATGAAGAGACAGGTAGCTGAGGTCTGGGAGGGTCCTGAGCGCAGGAGCTTCTGTCCCCATGGAGATGGGGTGCCCCACCCTCCCAGTGTGGATGTGTTCACCCACCTGGAGCTCTCCGCAGCGCACGCTATTGGGATTTCAAGGAGGCTTCCTCACATGGGCACGATCAGTTACTGACTCCATTTCCAGCCCCTCTCCTCTCTCTAGAGGATGGGACGGTGGGGCTAATCATGGCTTGGTCTTTCTGGTGACCAGACTCCATCCGGGAGCCCATCCAGAGTCACCTCAACAGAACAAAAGATGCTCCTAGTGCGCTTTTTTTTTTTTAAAGATTTTATTTTACTTTTTTTCCTTTTTCTTCCCAAAGCCCCCCGGTACATAGTTGTATATTCTTAGTTGTGGGTCCTTCTAGTTGTGGCATGTGGGACGCCACCTCAGCGTGGTTTGATGAGTGGTGCCATGTCTGCGCCCAGGATTCGAACTGACGAAACACTGGGCCGCCTGCAGCGGAGCGCGCGAACTTAACCACTCGGCCACGGGGCCAGCCCTCCTAGTGCTCTTTTCACGTAGGAATTTACAAGCGTTTTAGGAGCTCTGTGCCTTTTATTATGTCACAGAGAGAGAGAAAATGAACGCTTTCCCACAGTCTCATCCCTGATGGACCACCGTTAATAGTTTGGAGTATATACTTTCCCATGTTTTTTAGACTTCTATAAAATTAACTTTTTAAACATGAAATTTTTAAAAACACACTTAATTTTCTGTAATTTTTTTCAATTAATAGCTTTTCATATCAACAAGCAAGCATCTACCTCTTCCTTTTAATGGCTTGTTTGGGAGCACTATACTTTATTTGGCCAATCTCCTGCCAATGTACATTTCTTTCCAGCATTGGGGTATGTGTCGGAGGGGCCTGCCTTCGCCTGTATGGAGGGGGTAGGAGAGTCCTAAAGTCGACCAAGGAAAACCATAAACCAACATTTAGAAAACTGCTGCCCCGGGGCACACACCGGCCCACCCTCCAAATTCCTCCCTTCTGCCCATAGCTGCTCTGGAGCTGCTAGAATGACCCTCACCTTCCGGTCCTGCCTGCTGCTGCTGAGCCCTGGACACAAGGAGAGGTCTCTCCCTCTCGCGTTGGACCTGGGTAAATGGGCCCCTCCTACGAGCGAAGAAGGTCACCTCACGTCACTCTCTATCAAGCTAACTGCCGCTAAGCCATCCTTTGCCCAACTCACTCTCCTTCAATTTATCTGAGGATAAAATGGTTCACTGTGATTCCCTCTGGGCCTTTCGGTCACCTCAGTCTGTTATTAACATTAGTGGGGCCAGCCCCAGTCCTCTAGGACTCAACGTCTCCCAAGTGGAACAAAACAATCTTTTTTGTTTTCTACCTGAAGAATAGGGAGAGAGCATCTGCTGTTTGTATGTTAAGCTGACAGACTTTCCTGAGGTTTCATGTTCTAAAGTTTGAAACAAGTTTTGTGGGTTTCTCTTTTACATATCCAGCATTACTGCCCAATCCTTTTGATTACCATCCCAAGTGTGTCTAATTTTCTGCAATCTGCCAATGGATTACTGGGTGCGTGTGGTGAGTCAGGGAGCCCCCAGGAAAATGTTTTGTTGGGCAGGGAGTTAACTTAAGGTGTATCATAAGTTTGGACAAATGTATAATGACATATATCTACCATTATAATATTATACAGAATAGTTTCACTGCCCTAAAAAATCCTCTGTATTCTGCCTATTTATCCCTCCCTAACCCTAAAACCCTGGCAACCACTGATCTTCTTACCCCATAGTTTTGCCTTTTCCAGAATGTTGTATAGTTGGAATTGTACAGTATGTGGCCTTTTCAAATTGGCTTCTTTCACTTAGTAATATGCATTTAAGTTTCCTCCACGTCTTTTCATGGTGACGGCTCATTTCTTTTTAGCACTGAATAATATTCCATTGTCTGGATGGACCACAGTTTATTTATCCATTCACCTACTGAAGGATATTTTGGGTGCTTCCAAGTTTTGGCAATTATGAATAAAGCTGCTCTAAATATCCAAGTACAAGTTTGTGAACATAATTTTCCACTCCTTTGAATAAATACCAAGGAGCACAATTGCTGGGTCGTACAGTAAGAGTTTGTTCAGTTTTGTAAGAAACCACTAAACTGTCCTCCGAAGTGGCTGGACCGTCTTGCGTTCCCACCAGCGATGAGTGACAGCTCCTGCTGCTCTGCATCCTTGCCAGCATCTGGTGTTGTCAGTGTCCCAGATTTGGGCCATTCTAATAGGTGTGTAGTGGTATCCCACTGTTGTTCTAATTTGCATTTCCCTGATGACACAGGACGTGGAGCATCTTTTCATGTGTCTAGCTGCCACCTTAGCTCTTCTTCAGTGAGGTGTCTGTTAAGATTGGTTCTGTTTTCACGAAAAAATACACCACCACCTTTGTTCCCAATGTGAATAGTTTTCTTCTTAATATCTTTCTGTAGTGCTTAAATTTTTTTTACAAAGATATTTCACTTTTACAAGAAAAAGAAAGCCAAGAGAAACAATTTTTTTTAAAAAATCCAGGGTTGGAAAGAGAAGGGACTGAGAATGAAGCTGGTTGCTTGTGTCTGCCAGCCCCTCCCCACCTTACGCCTTTAAACAACCAGCTTTCAAAATTCCCCAAGAGAGAAGAGCCTGGTTAAAATAACACAACACCCCCTACCTATTTCCTTTACTTAGCACCATTTAAGGTATTAAAGAACAGCTTTTTTTTTTTTAACTCAAAATAGGAAACATCACAGTCTTGTAAAAGCAATACATTTAATACATTCATAAGATTTCAAATGAAAGACGTGTATTATTCACACTACAGGTTTTCCATCTTCCTTGGACAACACAAGAAACACAGGACTCAAACCACATGTTTTAACAAGACGAACATGAAATCTCGTTTTGACACAAAGACAGGTTAAAAAAAAATAAAAACACAAAAGCCAACGTTGAACTAATCCAGCAGCAGCAACTTCCTTAAATGCCCCATCTCTCCCACTCTCGGGCTCACACAGCTGCCTTCTGTAGCAGCATTTCTTCTTCCCTACCCCAGAATTCAACAAAAAAATTAGACATTTAGCGGGGTGTCACTGAACGAGTACTACAACATGCTGAAAAAACAGGCCGACGTATTTGCTGAATGTTGAAAGAGGGGAGTAAGATGAGGTGAACAGACGACAGTGGGGGACCCGGGGGCCTTGGCTCCCTTCCCTTCACTCCGATTTCAGGGCATGGAACTGCGCCCAAGGGTTAGCAAGAGGAACGAAAGACGCCAAGAAACATCCCAACAGTATCTATAAAAGGAAGACCGTCTATGAAGAGCTTTTAATACCATGGAAAAATGTTTATGTTATAAAGGTAAATGAGAAAGCAGAACACAAAACTGTATATTCAGTATGATCTCAGCCATGTAAACCAAACCAACCAAAAGATGCCCTAAAAGGGGCTGAAAGTTCAAGATATTAGGTTAGTGGTTGTATTTAAGTAGTGTATCTACTGTGATCTTTTTTCTTCCTTTTACTTTTCTATCCAAAATTTTCTCTACCAGGAGGATTTTTTTTAACTATTAGTTACAAAAAAGGAAGCCTGATAGAAGTATTGAATTTGAGTTGATGACTTTAAGTCCAGCCTACAAGAAAGGATTTATACATTTACAAAACTAAAAAACATTCCAGGCGACTCTCTGAATCCACTGTGTGTTATCGCTTCTCAGCCTTTTGGCTAAGATTAGGTGTGAATCCACTGTGTGTTAGGAATAAGTTCCCAGAGGTGGGAGGGCTTCGGGCTCTCCTCCAGCCAGATGCAAAGCGTCACCAGATCCTGCCTGATGAAAAATATTGAACCCAACAGAAATGTCATGGCTTTACTGAAAGGAACAGAAATACCCACATTTGGCAAAAACCCATTTACAGTACAGTAGTAGCTCCTTAATACGAGAATTAAACAAGAGGACGGTTATTTTCTCTTATTTTCTGTGCAGATGTCAAGTTTCAAACAGCCATCATCACAATTACTGTAGAAAGCTAAACCTGGTTTAGAAACAGAAATGACAGCACTGCAACAATAGTGGACAGAGAAAAGCACAAAATTTAGAAAATTATGAAAAGTGCTTTCTATAAAAAGGATTCCTTTTTTTTCTTTTTTTGGTGAGGAACACTGGCCCAGAGCAAACATCTGTTGCCAATCTTCCTCTTTTTGCTTGAGGAAGATTGTCGCTGAGCTAACATCTGTGCCAATCTTCCTCTATTTTATGTGGGATGCCACCACACCGTGGCTTGATGAGTGGTGCTAGGTCCCCACCCAGGAACCAAACCTGCAAACCTGGGCCACGAAAGTTGAGCACCAAACTCAACCACTACACCACAGGCCTGGCCCCAAAATGATTCCCTTTAAGACATGTGTTTACTGTACACACTTTAAGGTCCCTCCTCCTCCCTGACAAAAGGGCAAAACCTCCAAACATTTTCTACCCACATATTCACTGGTTTGTTCATTCAACAAACACTGACTAAAGGCTCATAGTGTGTGAGGCACTGGGGTCTCAAACAGGAGACAGACGTGTCCCTGCCTCAAGGCCATCCCGGTCTTCTCAGAGCAGGAGGTGGACACATCATCAATCATTATAAGCAATTATAAGCAGAGGCCACTGCTTTCTTATAATTAAAGAAGATGCTGCAATTCTCATTGAATTACTCACACAAAAGTCCTTACACAGAAACTTTCCTGACTTACTGGGAAGCAAAAATGCACCTACTTTCCCTTGATAAATACTTCCAGAAGGAGCCGGCACTAAATTACATTTTGTGATATTTGCCCCTAAACATCACGCCCAGTGAAGTCAGCTAACTTTCTGGTAAGCAATGCAGCAGTTTCTACTCCAAGAATGAGACACCTGGAAACCGAGAATAAGTGACCAGTCCCATACCTAGGTCAAGACGAGTCAGTGCCATCAAAAGCTGAGACTCAAGAGCACAAGTTTCAGTTAAAATCTTCAGTCTCCTCTTCCACCTGCTGATTTTCAATGTGCTCCTGCGTCAGCCGCTCCAGGTCTTTCCTCACATTCGGGTGGTCTTCCAGATCTTCGTAGAGCGATCTCACGATGTCCAGGCGCCTGTAATTCTCAGGCTTGACTAAGCTCCGGACAACCTGGAGGCATCGCTCTTTCAGGGTGTATACTGCAAGGGCAGAAAACCGAATCCTCAGCAGCAGACTCAGGCCTTGGGCCAGGGGACGAGCAAGAGGCTTTGCCAAAAACGGTAATCACAGTTACTACAGACGGACCTCACTTTGGGCAAAAAGAGTGAGTAGCTGTATTGTGGCAGAGGGTAACGTGATGACCCCAGTGCACATCTCAAGGTATTCAGGACCCCTTATAGCAACTTCTCCTTGAAAGTGGCTGGGCCTGCGATGTGCTTTAACCAACTGAATGTGGGGAAGCGGCAGTGTGGCAATGCTGGGCCGAAGTCTTAAGAAGGCCTGGCAACTTCTGCTTTTACGCTCTCGGGAGCCCTGAGCTAGGCTGCAGGAGACCACCCAAAGAAGAACAGGCCCTGAGACTACCTGGGAGAGAGGCCCAGCCCCCAGCCAACCTGCCAGCAGAAGGCAGCCACACAATGACCACCAAGAGCAGAGTGACCACCTAGTAAGCTAAGCCCAGACTGCAGAACTACGAATAAAACGGTTGTTAGTTTTGGGGTAGTTGTCACATAGCAATAGATAACCCAAACTGAGTAACTGGATTGGAGGGTAACTCAAACCCTATTTTAAACTCACTATGAAACTTACTCTTTGCCTATGAGGCAAAATTTACATTTAACTTATCAGTGCTCATTTTTGAATACCCACTTCCTTAAAATAGAATCTATATATACCTATTAGTTTGAACCCTATGAAGCTGCAGGTATTTTCGTTTTTTTTTAAGCCAGAGGAACATCAGTTTCTTAGGGTTCAACCTAATAAAATCATTGGAGTCTTAAATAGTAAACTATAATCCTAATGTTTGATTTGGTAATTTATTTAACCCCTGACTGGCACCGTAGCTTGACCAGGTTAAATAACATTAAAAGATACAACACTAGAAGTCATATGAATAAGCCCCGATATCTCATTCTCTCCACCTTGTTCTTCTCCTGGGGCTCCAGGGCATAACTTTGCTCTAAGGCCAGGGAAACAAAATGCATTCATAATTCCACAATCAGATATTTTGATTTAGCTCACCTCTGACAAGCCCAAAGAGCTTCTGAGACACCAGGACATCTTTGTTCAATACAGAGCATACGAATAAATTACTTCCGTTTTATTTATGGTGGAGAATAGGGCGCAGACAGGTTGGAGACCTCGTGCAGTATCAGGTCAGTAAAGGCTTGGCTCCTTCCAGTGGCCCAGCCTCTACTTATCACAACTGCCTGGACTCTTTAAAAAGTAAGGCGGAACATTAGTACCTGGCAGTGTGATGTTGGCAAAGATAGGCTGTCCATCAACATTGAGAGATGGCACAAAGAGTTCAGTCTGGTTAACCAGCAGCCCATCGTATGTCCCTGCATCTCGGAAGAGCCAAAGGTGACCTGTTAAGACAAGCAGAGGCTGGTCAGTAGCCACACCCACTTCCTTCACCTCCCCTGACCAACATGAAATGCTTGCCTCTCATATTCCGCTTAACTATCACCCAGCGCTCTTCCAATAATATCGTCTCATTCGATCTCACAAGAGGTCCATTTACAGACGAGAAAACAGGTCTGAAAAAGCCAAGTGACTTGCTCAAGGCCACAGGGACAGGAAGCAGAAGAGCACGGACTTGAGGCTCCAAACCCCACACCCTTTCTGCCACCGTGGTGGAAAAGCAAATCACACCAAAGGCTGCGAACTGAGAGGTCATCGACTTCTCAGATCTGTGCTTCTCAAAACCAAAGTGCAAAAACATCACGTGGAGAGAAAGAAGCCAGACAGAAAAGGGTACCTTCTGCAGGAACAGGCAAAACTAACGTGTGGGGTGAAAAGTCAGAAGAGTGGCTGCAGGCCGGGACTGCGTGTGAGGGGCAGCAGGCAACTTCCTGGGGGGGTGGAAACATTCTCATCTATCACTTGATCTAGGTGCTGCTACATTTGTCAAAACCCATCAAACCCAAAGATCTGTGCATCTTACTGTACGTAAATTATACTTGAATTTAAGAAACAAAATCATCATATGCAAAACAGGCAGGCAGGGGAGGAAGGAGGCAAACCCCCAGGCCTAAGAGCCTCATTAAGGAGGGAACAGGTTGTCTCAGAATAAATATAGCATGTGTTTCCGGGGCATAAACTTACTTGAAGATTTGGTAGGAAAATTTAAGAAATGTAAACTGGTAATTTTTTTTATTGTGGTAAAATATACATAAAATTTACCATTTTAACTCCTTTTGTGTGTGTGTGTGTGTGTGTGTGAGGAAGACTGGCCCTGAGCTAACATCTGTGCCCATCTTCCTCTATTTTATGTGGGATGCGGCCACAGCATGGCTTGACGAGGGGTGCTAGGTGCCAGCCTGGATCTGCACCTGAGAACCCTGGGCCTCTAAAGCGGAGTACGTGAACTTAACCACTACGCCACCAGGCCCACCCCCCATTTTAACCACTTTTAAGTATACAATTCAGTGACATTAAGTATGTTCACATGGTAAGTAATTTAAAAAAATTTTTACATTAAATCAGGTACAGATAAATTTTGGAGTAGAATACAAATTCAGAGAATTCCCTAGATAAAATAGGAGGCGAAACAAACGTTGATTCCTACAAGAACTGTGTGCTTCGTCACCTATTCTTAGGGGAGCTTGTGTAAAAGTTTGAGAAGCATTAGCTTATTAACTGTACTACCCTCCAGGTTTCTGATCCCTCGGGATCCTCCCAGGGTGGTTGTGAAAATCCGGCTGGAAGAGGACTATGCTGCTTGACAGCCATGGACGACAGCCGCCTCCTAAGGCAGGAAGGCCTGGCTATGCCTCACCTCGGCTGTTACTACAGCTTACTAACTAGTTCCTCACCAGTAGTCTCCCCACTCCAAACCATTCTGCAGCCTGGCTGAGCTTTCCAGTATGCAAGTCCGACAGAGTCATTTCTCCGCTTAAAAACTTTCAGTGGCCCCCATAAGGGTAAAAATCACCTTTGGGGCTTACTCTCCCTGACTTCCATACCCTCTCCTCTTCCCCCGCGGCTCCAGGCTTCAGCCCACGCGGCGCTCTCTGCCCAGAACTCTCCCCTCCGTCTTGGGGTGGTTGGCTCGCGTTCACCCTGCAGGACTCCCTTCTTCTCTGGGAAGCTCTCCCTAACTGAAACCATCCGCCCCCTCCCTTCACTAAGCAGGTACCTGTGCCAAGCTCCCGCAGCCCGCTGGGCTCGGTTCCTATCGAAGCAACGATGACACTGGCTTGTTCTTACCTGTTCATGCACTCGTCTGTCTCCCCCGCTGGACTGTGCTCTCCGGGAAGGTAGGGACCCTACGCGGACCTGGCCCGCTGGGGACATCGAAATTCTCCCATTCACGGACTGAACAAATGGGCATTAGGGATGGAGCACTTCTTTCAGGGGTAAATGCACGTGAACGGGGAGGGGAAGCCACCATCAAATGCAAACTACTCAGTCTTAGAACGCTCTGCCACTTACTAGCAGCGTCAACTTGTATCTGTCACGACCTCTCTGGGGCCTCAGTTCCTTGAGCGTGAAATGGGCATCATGACTACAGCACGCGCCTCCCGGACGGCGGAGGGGCTTCAGTAAGATGGGGCCACCGTTCCCGTTGTCATCGGGCCTAGCGCGCCGGGCACAGCTCGGCACGGGCGCGGGCAGGCGCTCGCCAGGCCCCGGGACAAAGAGGGCGACCCCGGCGCGCCTACCTCGGTAGCTGTGGATGCGGCGGCCGGTGCCGGGCTGCAGCGTCGGGTAGGGCTGCGGCTCGCCGTCGAAGTTGAGCCACACGGGCAGCACGACGCGCGGGCTGCGGTTGCAGAAGATGACCTGGGACGGCTCGCGCGAGTTCACCGAGCGCAGCACCGGCCGCGGCCGCCCGGCCTCCATCTCCTCCGAGGCGCCAGGCTCCTCCGGGTCCGACTCTTCCGGGCCGGACTCCTCGGCGCCAGCCTCCTCGCGGCCGTCCTCTTCAGTGCCGTCCTCCTCGGCCTCTTCCACCCGCCCCGCCTTCCGGGGCATTACCTCCCGGAGCCTGGAAGACCCGGGCCTCGCGGGGCGGGGCGGGGAGCGCGTGCGTGCGCGTCCCCGGGCAGGCGTGCGTGCGGCTTCCGCGCGCTCTCGGTGAGGGAGGGAATACACGCTTGCAGAAATGGCCGGCTGGAGACTGTGCGCATGCGCAGGGGGATCCTCTAGCTCCAGGGGCCGCGTCCTCGCTGAGAGGGAGGGTGGCGGTAGCGCCACATCTCCCGGTTTCCTATAAAAATAAATGTTTCCCTCCTGTTAAGTTTGTGACAGCCTTACTTTAGCTTCATTCTCTTGTTGATGGGGATCGAGGCTGCCCCAGGGAGAGAAGCCCAAGGCGTCCTGGCCTACATGCGGATCTATGTGACCCGATTCATATCTAAAGTTATATGACCACACAAGAACCAGACCCCACCTGCAGGGATACCATTTTAGAGACTTTTTACATCATCTTTCCTTTGTCTGGTAAAAATAACTCATGTACCCATGCCTTACAAATTTAGCCCTAACCCTCAACACACTGCAGCTCTTCACTGCCCATCGGTCCTATATTGTGTAGTCCTATAACTTTAGATATGAATCGGGTCATACAGATTGCCGTGTAGGCCAGGACGCCTTGGGCTTCTCTCCCTGGGGCAGCCTTGATCTACATCATTATGACTTTCGCGGTTTTTGCTATATTTTCCCTACCATCTTCGCTATTATTTATTTAATAATTTTCTCATTAGTCAAGTTTGTTTCATCTCCACTTTGGGTCACAAAATTCTAATTTTGTACAGAAGAATATAATAAAGTTAAAAATTTCCTCTGATCCCGGTTCCCTTAGCTACCCTGAAAGAGTCCCTGGAGGCCAGAAGTATCACCAGGCTAACGTACTTCCTTTCAAAGGTATTCTATGCATACACAAGCAATTAAACAGGTTTGAGAGGAAATTCTATATCACTGCCATCAGTGGAAATTCATTATCATTTGCCATAGAAGAGAACAGTGGAACTAACTTCAAAGAAAACAAAACAAGTTATTAAATTTTATCTATTGTCTGTTAAAGGCTCTAAACTTGGTTTAGAAACTCTCTCTTGGTTCCAAATGGTTAGCCAAGTGGTAGATGTTAGATGCCGAGTATAAGCTGTCAAACCAGTTTTCTCCTGGACATGATCAGGAAGATCAAAGGAAACCGAAAAGGAGTAACTTTTCACATGCAGTTTGTGTGCCCTCTGAAATTCACACCCACCTGGGTTCTCATTCTGGGTCTAGATATTGCGCAAAACTCTAAATTCTCTGAGCCTTTAATTGCTCATCTTTGAAACTGGCTTTTTAAAATTTTTTTTGAGGAAGATTGGCCCTGAGCTAACATCCGTGCCCATCTTCTTCTACTTTATATGTGGGACACTGCCATAGCATGGCTTGACAAGTGGTAGGTATGTCTATGCCCAAGATCTGAACCGGCAAACCCCAGGCTGCCAAAGCAGAGCACGCAAACTTAACCACCACACCATGGGGCCAGCCCTGAAATTGGCATTTTTAAGAAGTACCTACGTCATAAAAGTGCAGATTAAGTGGAAAAGTGTTCAGTGCCTAGCACATAGTAAGCACTCAGCAAACAGCAGCACTTATTATTATAAAGATGAATTAAATACACCGTCTCTGCTCTCAAACTGCTCTTGGGCTACTGGGCAAACAGACAGGACGTGTTGTTACAGTAGATTGTGATATTGGTTGTAAAGGAGCAGGAGGAAAGTGACTACCTGGCCCTGAAAAGAATCAGGTAAGTCTTCCCTGGAGGGGTTATATCTGAGATGGCCTTCGAATAAAGACTATGAGTTTTCCCTTCCTATCTCCCATGGTACAAATATCCAGCCTGGATGTCGGATCAGGCTCATGCATTCAGGAGACAGGGCAGACCCCACAGTAGGCACTGATTCCCCAATTCAGTTTGCTTCTCACTGATTTTTTACCTACCACCTCCAAGCCCAGGACTCATACAAACCTACCCTCACGTACTGATTGCCCCAAGGAATGAGGAACTCAGGGGTGCATTTGAAAGTATTTAACTGTTTTTCCAAAGTTTTTTTTTCTTTGTTAAGGAGATGCAATCACCAACCACCCTGAACCAGACCTAGCCTCACCGCAAGAGCTCTGCCTTTGACCTTTGCCTTATTTTTAATGCTAAAATCTCCTCTCCAGGAGGAGTTTAGGCCTTATCACCATAGCCTGCAGGGCACGTGTAAGCATGTTTGCCAACTGAGCCTGCGCAAGCGAATACCCACCTCTCCCTTTTGAGTATTCATTCCCCATCTGAAATAAATGTCCCTGCTCCCTTTGTACAGGGACACCATGACTTTGGCGATAATTCCATACGGTCTCCTATTTACTGCAAATACACTTTACTTTGTGTGACAACTACTTCTGGGGGAGAGTCTGACTTAACTCACCAGGAGGGAACCCACTTTGGTTTTGGTAACACTATCACTTACTGAAAACCCACCTGGTGGCCTAGGCCAAAGAGGGACAAATGTCTATGTCCACAGACTAGCATTATGGCCCTAACATTTAAAAGAAATGGCAGGGAGAAGGGAACAAATAGGCCTTTTTCGGTTTCGGCTACACTCTGGCATCTTCTCTCAATCAAATCTGCAAATGAAGAAGAGGTTTAGATTTATGATTTCACCCATCTGGGCAACCTCTTTCAATTTCTTTGATTGCCTGACAAGGAAGACTGATGCAAACATATGGCAACCCCATTAAAATAAGGAAAAGCTTATTGAGGATATGGAAATGAAATAAAAGGAGGGAAAGAGCCATCAAATTGTATGTGTAGCGTGATGACGTTTATGTAAAATATACGCAGTTATTCCCCCACCAATTTCAGGGATGGGGTTACATTACCTTTATAATGAAAATGAAATCAATTCTTTTTTCCCCCATTTTATTGAGATATAATTGATCTAAATCAATTCTTAAAAGCCATAAGCGACTGGTAAAGAGGGAAAACTAATCAGACCCACTATGTGCAGAGTACTATGGTGCAAATTTGGGATATGAGACGTTCATTTCTGGGAGATTAAAACTACAAAGTATGAACACTCATTACTTCCTTCATTCTGTAAATATTTATTGAGGGCCTCCCATGTGCCAGGTACTGTGTTAAGTGCTAAGACTATTAGAGAGAACAGTCATGGTCTCTGCCTTCACAGCACTGCAATAGGAGGGTCACACAATAATCAACAACGGCACAAGGAAAAACAAAGTTGCAACTATGACTAGTGCAACAAAAGAGACCTGTGGTGAAATGGAAGGCTGGAAGATGGTACATAATTCTGTGTAATTAAACATCCACTGATGTAGAATAGACTAACGGGAGAGGCAGCACAGAAATAGCAGGGTTGAGAGGGTTTCATTTTAGTCAAAGATGAACTTCAAGAAAAAAATCTATCTATCTATCTATCTATCTATCTATCTATCTATCTACCTACCTACCTACCTACCTACCTATCTATCAAGGGCCAGGCTCAGTACTAAGCATTCCACATGCATTAAAGTTACATCATGGGGCCGGCCCAGTGGCACAGCAGTAAAGTGCGCACATTCCACTTCAGCGGCCTGGGGTTTGCCAGTTTGGATCCTGAATGTGGACATGGCACCGCTTGGCACGCCACGCTGTGGCAGGCATCCCGCACATAAAGTAGAAGAAGATGGGCATGGATGTTAGCTCAGGGCCAGTCTTCCTCGGCAAAAAGAGGATTGGCAACAGTTAGCTCAGGGCTAATCTTCCTCAAAAAAAAAAAAAAGCTACATCATTATCTCCATTTTCCACTGAAGGGTACATAAGGGTGTGAAGACAGTGGTCAGAGGAGAGTGCTGGATCAGAGAGGCTCATCATCTGGTGCCCTGGGTGGAAATGACTTGTGAGTGAATCTAAGGAGTCAGACAAATCTACAAAGGAACTTAACACTCTGAACCTAGGTAATTTTGCAGTGGCCTCTCTTTGGCAGTGCATTATACAAAGAGATGGTGTCTTCTGATGGCCTCCAGCAGGATTAAATGACCAGCAGTGATGCTGGACCTCTAGTTATACTGAACATTAACAACATGGAAACATTTGTGGAGGGAAACCCCCGGGAAAGATGGCACTTGTTGTTAATCAAATTACAATGGCCTGGGGCCAGCCTGGTGGGGCAGCCGTTAAGTTCACACGTTTTGCTTTGGCAGCCTGGGGTTCCCTCGTTAGGATCCCAGGTGCAGACCTACATACTGCTTGTCAAGCCATGCTGTGGCAGGCATCCCACATATAAAGTGGAGGAAGATGGGCATGGATGTTTGCTCAGGGCCAGTCTTCCTCAGCAAAGAGGAGGACTGGCGGCAGATGTTAGCTCAGGATTAATCGTCCTCAAAAAAAAAAAAATTACAATGGCTCAGAGCCATCATAAATCTCAGGATTCATGCAAACACATCCTAACTTGTACTCCCAGGCTACTGAGGTGAAACACACCAGTTTATTCTTACAAAAATGCCTGCATCCCTAAAATGAGAGTTGTTTAGATAAATGCAGGCCTTAAGATTGATATTGCATCACTGCAAATAAGGTTAAGGAAGATAATTTAAGTGCAAGAAAAACATGTTTAGGATATATTAAGTAAAACTACAGATTATATCGTTCTTTTTTTTTAAGATTTTATTTTTCCTTTTTCTCCCCAAAACAATCTGGTACATAATTGTGTGCCATGTCTGTACCCGGGATCCGAACTGGCAAACCCCAGGCTGCCAAAGTGGAATGTGCGCACTTAACCGCTGCGCCACTGGGCCAGCCCCCATAGTTGCCTATTTTTAGTTGTGGGTCCTTCTAGTTGTGGCATGTGGGACGCTGCCTCAGCATGGCCTGACGAGTGGTACCACGTCAGCACCCAGGATTTGAACCAGCGAAACCCTGGGCTGCTGAAGCAGAGTGCATGAACTTAACCACTCGGCCACGGGGCCAGCCCCAGACTATACTGTTCTTAAAGTACACTTTCCACTATGTAAAAACAAACATGTAGAGAGGAATAGAAGAAAACCCTCCCAAGTGTTTTAAGATCACTGATGATTTTTTCCTTTCTACTTTTCCATCTTCTAAATTTTCTTTTAGGAGAATATATTTTGCCTTGTTTATATTTTGATTAAAAAATACAAAGTATAATAACAAAGCAAAACTGATAGTCTCACCATATAAAATTAACAATATATTTTTACTGTACTTTCCTTTAA